GGTGAGGTGGTGAGCAAAGACCGAAATCAAAACAAAGTAGATAATACACATGGTCAGTACTGTACTTCTGTCGTCCAATATGCTCCAACTTTCGTGGAAACCCATCGGTTGTTACTGGACAGCTTCCACAAGGTCAGAGTGATGTACAGGTGGAAGGGTGTAAGGACGGACACCATGAAAGGTCATAATGGTGTGACAAGATTAACAAATATAAACATTATCAAGACAAAGAGAATAGAGGAAGGAAATATAATTGTGAAGAACAACTTTGTACACTATCTGTCTCGTCAGATCTTACTGCCAACATTCAGGAATTCTCTATTAAGAGGCTACAAGAAAGATACAAAGCCTTGATAATAAACTTATTAATGTTGCATATTAAAAACTTATTCACCCAACATGTCTTCATTAACTGGCAACATCAAAGACACAGGTCAGCGAGACAACGTTCATAAAGTTAACCATAATCTTTTGCATGTCACAAGTCAAACTAGACTTGCGCCAACAACATAATTTGTGTCATTATAATCTAATCATTCCTGACCGATAAGGAATTGCCAAAGCAGACAAATGATACGAGATGTTATGAATATTTTAACATGAAGATTTACAAGTCAATGAAGACAGTGGGACAAGCGAGACAAAGATATAAATATTTAAAACTTGTGAATTACGAATGACAAACACAGTCAAGTTATTATACAATATAAAACAAAAATATACTCTCTCTCTCTCTCTCTCTCGTCCTAACTACATTATTGCTCACTTATTCTCATTCTCAACTGTTTACTGCATTATTCGTATTCCTTAAATTTCTTTCAAGCTGTTGGCGTGTCTCTATCTTAAAATAGTTCCAGTCTCTATATACAGTTATTTACAGAATGATCGATAATTTACAAGCTAATGTAGATAATTGTATCCTCATTACCGCTTCAATCATTAGTACATTATCTATTTATGCATCACTCATCACTTTGGCACTGTCTCTTATTCGTATGAAGGTAATTGTGTATTTTTGTTTTATTCATTCATTCATCTTTATTCATCTTTTCGTTATATTCTTATTTTCTTGGGTTCATCGACGCAGAGACAGTAGAAGCATCAGGAGACACAAACTTCATACTTATATTTATTCACCATTATTTTTTTTTCCCCTCAGGGTGTCAGTCTTGGATGAAGCTGTGATAAATTACTGAACTCACCATTAAAGTGCTCGAGTGTGAGGGTAAAAACTGCACCAAGTCTTCCATCACGTCTGCCATCATTGCCCACACTGGTGATGGCGCAATGAGGCGTATTTATCACCACCGGCTCCCAAAATACAGCGGTTCAAGTAATAATTTATCACTTCACTTCACTTCACCTTATCAGTCAAAACAAATCTTCAAGTAGCTGAGAAAGTATTATATAATGTCCCTGTGGATAGTAAAATAAAGTATCTGAACTGAGAGAAAGTTTGAGTCTTAAGAAACTGAATCATTGGATATTACGTCAAAAATTAATTCGCCAAACAACCTCTGACTGGCCAGTTTGATAGACAAGTAAAATTCAGCCATGTTGAGGACCTCAGATCTCAACACAGTAGGTAGGTGATATTTTATCAGTAATCAGGGACATATATCTTAATGAGGCAAGACATGGGGGTCCTTCCACAACACTGAACTCCTCTTAATCCAATACTTTGATGATTATCGAGACCAAGGTTGGCTATATCGTATAACACATCTTGGATATTACCACAACAACCTCTGATAAATTTCTCTTAAGGTTCAATCTTGGAAATATATATATACAAAGCCGGTAAGATTATCCGGTTTTATATCAAAATTAATGATGAAACTATCTACAAATCGAGCCTGAATTATGGCTCAGAATATAATAATATTTCCAGTCAACTATTACTATCAAGTCTGAGGCGATGTTTATAACACAAACTTATTTATTTTGATAAGTTTTCTATTAATCAGTCAGCAGTGTATCATCAGGTATGTAAACTAAAGTCATAGAGAAACTTAACACAAAATTACACTGACAAGAATAGATGAGCCAGCCTCCAAAACAGAAGAATTTCAAGACAAAAAATAATCACCACTTTAATGACAGAGAACCACTCTATTGTGAGAGACGAAGGCGACAGATACAGCTGTCAACTTGTTCATTACACCCAAGATTCACTACCGTCCAGGGACCTTTATCTCTACGCTTGGTGTGTACCTCAGCAGGGCCATAAAGTTTACATGCCATGTGTGTGTGTGTGTGTGTGTGTGTGTGGTCGAGTATTACACATTCTCGTCACTACCTGCAGAAGTAAAACAGCTGAAATTACTTGAGACTTAACAAGGTAGGCGAGGTACAAAAAAAATGTATATATATATAATCGCCTTTATACGTTAACAATAACTCGATTACTGTTTATTAAAGATATATAACAACACATACAGAGGCCTTACTGATATACAATATATAATAATTTGATTTGTTCTTGGTTACCTGTAGCAATATAGGAAAACTTGTTATATAAATTAGGCTTTAAGCTACCGAAGATAAATACAATTATAATCAATAATTGGATTGAAGAAACTTGAGACTTGGAGTTAAGGTTCAGGAGTAACTTATGTGTGTATTGTTGTTTAACCTGTAATTCCCTTTATTACTGTTGGTGCTACTGTTACTGTTGGTGCTACTGTTACTGTTGGTGCTACTGTTACTGTTGGTGCTACTGTTACTGTTGGTGCTACTGTTACTGTTGGTGCTACTGTTACTGTTGGTGCTACTGTTACTGTTGGTGCTACTGTTACTGTTGCTGCTACTGTTACTGTTGGTGCTACTGTTACTGTTGGTGCTACTGTTACTGTTGGTGCTACTGTTACTGTTGGTGCCTACTGTTACTGTTGGTACTACTGTTACTGTTACTGTTACTGGTGCTACTGTTACTGTTGGTGCTACTGTTACTGTTGGTGCTACTGTTACTGTTGCTGCTACTGTTACTGTTGGTGCTACTGTTACTGTTGGTGCTACTGTTACTGTTGCTGCTACTGTTACTGTTGGTGCTACTGTTACTGTTGGTACTACTGTTACTGTTGGTGTTACTGTTGGTGCTACTGTTACTGTTGGTACTACTGTGGAGGGTGTGATAGTTTGCCGTGTGGGCGTGGGGAGGATGTAAGGGCGTGACGTCAGGGCGTGGGGAGGATGAGACAGCACTGTGTGTGTGTGTGTGTGTGTGTCTGGAAAGGTAAGAGGTTACAGTGTATGGGCGTGGAGAGACTGATGAGTGCTCGACATGTGAGTGTAGGGAAGGTGCAGTAGTTTGGCGTGTGGGCGTGTGTGGAGGGTGGGGCATGGATGTAAGAAAGATAAAGTAGTAAGGCGTGGGTAGGATGGCACGATAAGGGTACTGACAACAACACGTTACTATTCAGCACGAGAGAGAGACAGACGAAGAGAGAGAGACTGAACACCTGACACCTCCCAGAGTACACAACATACTGGAGACAGACACACAGACTCAATACCTGACTCACTATCCACTCAATACCTGACTCACTACCCACTCAATACCTGACTCACTACCCATAAATCGTATAAACTGCATCATGATGTGTGGTTGTCAAACACAGAGACTATTCCCTCAACCACAAGATAGTACAGATAACATCAATTAGTGTTTATGGGGAAAAGTAACTATTACTTCTTGTGGTGTTACATATCTGTTTAAGAGAATCCTAGGATCTTATTAGGCACTTACCCGGGGTCAACATAGCCTCGGGGCCTCCATAAAAAAAGGAGTGTAATTGTCCTAATTGAAGATGAATGGAGGCAGACCTTACTAGGAATTATACCATAATGGTTATCCTCACAGTTGTTAAAAGATTTATGGAACTTGACACAGTTGTAAAGAAAGTTGCAATAGATATTATGTAAATGGACGTCAACATGGATTGGTCTAATTCTATTGAGACTTCAGCAAGACAACCACACATATCTTGTGCAATAAGTGTAGATACAGATTATCGAAATAGAATGCCGCTGACGTGTTGAGTGTCTCATGAGTAGAACCCAGGAAGGTGTTAGAGAGTGATCTAGCACCAGTGTCGTGTGACCTTCCGGCAGACACACTCAAAACGTCTCTGAAGCAACGCATGTCTTACGAATAAATAATATAGAAGCAACAGTAGAGTTAGGTAGATGAACAATTTTGTTTGTGGAAACGATTTCGTCCTACTATGGGGAGTCTCTTGGCACTTGGGGGTAATAGTGCCCCTTGAAATCACTGAACACTCCAGAGTATCAGGTTATCGGAATGGGGAGGTAGAAACTTGGTTAAGTTCAATAGTAATAAAACTCAGTATTTACCAATTACACTTTCCAAATTTGATGATCTCCCACCAATCACATTTCAGGACACTATCATTCTGCCAAATTCTAAAATAGATATGCTAGGCCTCACAATTTCCTCTAATATGTCATGGAAGCCACACATCCACAACTTTGCTAAGGCTGTCTCCCGAAAGCTGGGAATGCTGTAAAGATGGCATAGCTACTTCACTCCTGAGCAGTTGCTTGGAGTAGTGCTCTCTTTTCTGGGGTGGCTCTTCTTCTGTCCAACTGTTAGATGTGGATTGTTGACCTGTGCCCGGGTGGGCTAATCCCCGTAAAAAAAAACACCATCCTCCGATACAGACACCCACAAAAGAAACACTCACCACACACACACACCAAACATAAACAAACACTCATCACACCCATACAGTAACTCTCAACTCCCCTCTCCACACACACGTCACCAACTTATAATTGTGTGCGTCAGTGATCTTATGACCATCACGTTTTGGCCACCGGAGGAGATTCTCACAATAAATAACCCATTAAGGATTCGGAAGTCACTTAAATTATTATAATGAGACAAGTTGAGGTAATTTATCTCTCTCTAAGACGTGTGTGTGATTTATGGTGGCTGCTACACCCAAAGAAATATATTTCATGGGGGAGATAGTCGTCTACCTAGTGGAGGCACAGCACATGGTGGAGGCACAGCACATGGTGGAGGCACAGCACATGGTGGAGGCACAGCACATGGTGGAGGCACAGCACCTGGTGGAGGCATAGCACCTGGTGGAGGCAGAGCACCTGGTGGAGGCACAGCACATGGTGGAGGCACAGCACATGGTGGAGGCACAGCACCTGGTGGAGGCACAGCACCTGGTGGAGGCACAGCACATGGTGGAGGCACAGCACCTGGTGGGAGGCACAGCACCTGGTGGAGGCACAGCACCTGGTGGAGGCACAGCACATGGTGGAGGCACAGCACATGGCGGAGGCACAGCACATGGTGGAGGAACAGCACCTGGCGGAGGCACAGCACATGGCGGAGGCATAGCATCTGGTGGAGGCACAGCACCTGGCGGAGGCACAGCACATGGCGGAGGCATCGCACCTGGTGGAGGCACAGCACATGGCGGAGGCATAGCACCTGGTGGAGGCAAAGCACCTGGCGGAGGCATCGCACCTGGTGGAGGCACAGCACATGGCGGAGGCATAGCATCTAATGGAGGAACAGCGGCAGTACAACTTCCAGGCTGTAAGGATCTCTAAGCACTCCCCGCGGGCCCTTAAGCAATCAAACGGCACTAATCAGCGACCTGACCGTGATGTAATTTTTCTATGTTCCTGGAGGTAGAGGCAAGGTGAGGCTGACGAGAAAAAAATATACCCTTAAGGTTTATATAAACCCTGAGGCGGGGGAGAGTCTTGGGGTGACTCTCCACCATCTCTGGGATACCCTGTCTCTTTCTGCTGGATACGCCTCCTTGCGTGTGATTGATTCATTATTCAAGGCTTCCAAGATAGACTCGAGTATTTTTTGTTCTGTTCTCACAGCAAGAAGCAGGGAAATGTCTCCAAAAACAGAGGTAATATGTAACAACTCGAGGAAGGAAAGAGAGGTGATGGTCATCTCACAGTGGAAAAAACTATGAAAATAAACGGTGTACCGGTCTCCTTTCCACAACACCTTCCCCGACCACAGACATGTAACATAACCATAACAACCAACAGCTCAACCAGCCCCCGGAGATAGTGGTAGCTATATTCAGCTCTCTTAGTCATCCAATCTACAGACACTTGTATTACCAACACCGCTAATGTCACCATCTCCACCACCGCCGCCGCCACAGTCATCAGGTTCAAAGGCTCCCGGTAAGGCCTCAAGTAAGTCTCTCAGCCCCCCTCCACACCTACTCTTTTTTTGTTTACATGTTGTGACAAGACTAGACGCTTTGATTTTCATAACACGAGTAAATGACCCAATCATTACCGAGAATGGTTGACAGCCAGGATGTAACTGCTCTCTTTATTCGCGCTGTTCTCACATTTTACGCACGCTGATTGCTACTGCTTGACGCACAAGAAACACTCTTCTTATTATTCTACGACATGCCACAACTGAGTCCCGCCTCTCGTACGACGCAGACCGGTCTTACGAGTTCCTTCTTGTTTACTGCTCACCAATAATCGTCGTCTCTCAATTACTTTCTTCAACATTTGTTTCACGTGTTGAGGAAGAAGAATGTTCTTAGTGTCTTGGGAACTATACTTTCCTCAGATGAGAATTACCATGCAGCAATTTCGGGTAAAATATCATAATTGAGAAGCAAGAGCAGCTGTCTCTCCGTGTAAAACAACCCATGAACTTGTCAGAAGACGAAGTACATCTTACCAAAAGCAGTGTTTGTACGGGGATTGTCATGTAATTTTATACTTTCTTTCAGTATTTCCTGTAATTGTAATCATGTTGTGTTGCAGACAAGTTCACTCTTCTACTGATTGCTCTAAACCTACAAAAAAAATGCAAATTTTCAGAATTCTTTTACGTCAGAAAACAACTCCTTTCACAGCACGTTTATATATAGAAAAACAAAGAACAACCAGGGACACGATACACCAATAAGGTTGAGTGAGCGAGAAGAGAAACCCAGGTTAGGGCGGCAGCTGTTATAATTGTTCACCACGTAGTAGCTGTTACCTCACTGCTCTACCGCTAATGCATATATATTGTGTGTATCTGTTGATCTATTATGATATCCGAGGCCGGGGAAGAAAAAAACCAGTATGTGTGTTATCTCGTCAACCCGGAGCATATTCACCTGACGTGGCTCGACCAATCACGAGGCTCCTTTAATTAAGCCCAATTACAAGCTTGAAGTGAACAGAGTACAGCCAATATATCAATACTATATGTTCAAAATTGTTGATCTCCTTAATACTATTCGTGCAGAGGTTATCAACTATATCAACTCAAGTCTCCTGGTCAGCCATATTCCTACTGAAATTAATTCGTGTCAAGAAGTGGTGTAATCATCAGGTATGGTGAGACAACCCTTCATGTATAACAGCTCTTCACTGGATTAATTTTCCCTGATGATCTTGTATTTCTACCAAGATGAAGTATCGATGTTCTGATGTAGTTAATGTGTTGTGTAGGTGACGACCCAGGGAGGCGAGTCCTGCTGGGCGCCGCGGTGTGTAGCTCCCATTGTTCCTCCCGTTGTCGCTCACCGCATCACCCGCCACAAAATGTACGTTTTTTTGTATCAATGATTACCTTGGGTGCCACAAAGCTCCAGGGGTACACATTTAGGGCTGTTTCTCGACCACTGCCTGAAAGTTGGAACACAGTATGGCCGGAGTATTATTATTATTCCAAAATTATATGTTGCGGCTCGCCTACTCTTCTTACTTGCCAGATCACGAATACAGAAAAATAAACAAATCCAATTACCTTTACATATCTGCACCGACTGCCAAGGAAGACATAAGGTGTATCTCGACCAACGTCAATAGATCTAATTATTTTCTACAATTTCTAGTACAAACTTAAGAAATGTCTGCCTGGGATCATGCTTCTCCCTCATGCATACAAATTTATCCTAATATTTGGTGGAGAAGCCTCTCCTTCTAGCCCTCTTACTCTTCTTCACTCTATCTTCTCCACATCTTTTACTATCGCAGTCTTTCCTCTCCCTCCCCATTTTCTCCCAGTTTCTCCTCTTCGTCTTCCTCCTCAACTCGCTCCTCCTCTCCACCCAGCCCTGATAGCTGCCAGCACTATTTTAAACATAGGCAATTGAATATTCAGATTAGTGGTGTGGCGTCTTTTTCCGTGTTTAACCAAGAGACAAGAGACCTACGCCCGGCCATTAACACTCAGCCCACCATGTCTCAGTGTCACAGTTAAAGTGTAAAAATGACCACAATTGAAGCGTTGTCGGGGTTAACAATACGTCAGACTCCGCCAGTCACCACCTGCGAGGAAGGTCAACCGCTGACACGAATAATTAGTGGTGTTTATAACCTGTAAATACTGGCTTTTACCAAGGCCAGCGGGTCTTGCCCTTCTGACGAAGAAGGCGACGTGCAGTCACGCCTGTGTTAGCTCCCGAAGACACTCCAGGCAGCTGCAGCTCGGCCACCAGCTGGAGGACGTCTCGTGAGGTGATCAACAATGATTGAGTACTCAGGTAATACCCAGCAGCTACACCCTCCAGCACTCATACACTCCAAAACCCACACACACACTCAAAACACACACTCAACACCCTGGCAAGTCAACAACCACACTTCCACAATCATGTACACCCTAAAGCGTGTGAGTTGCACACACACGCACATACAATCACAACTACACGCACACGTGCGCGCACATACAAAATTAACAGCCACAAAACATAAAACCCATTTGCTTACTAATTCGCTGTAGCACAAAATTCTACCTAAGATTCACACAGTTCATCACATTACTGTACACCCCAACACACACAGCCAAATGATTTAAATACATTCATCATTTGTATTTCCCGCACCATTCACACCAACTCATCGGTCCAACGTCTTATCAGTCATACACATTAATCTTTATGAACCATAAATCATAAAAACACATATTTATACACCTATATACATATTCTTCAACAAATACCGTATATGCATGCATCCATACAAACAGAAACACAAAATATAGCATAGGCTCAATAAAACACTTTTCGATCACACACACACACACACACACACTATAAACATGCTCAATACATGTATGCTCCTTCCACCTTTTTTATTATTAATAATAAGGTTCCAGTCAGGCCAGATGCCTTCACCGAGGGCAGACCTTCCTGAAGGAGATGAAAAACAAAAAGGGATGAAAAAGTGTTCAGGTGTGTGTAATAATTAACGGTTTATTGAAAGAGCTTGGCAGCCAGAAGGCTGAAAATATACAGTTACATATTTGGGGAATGGGTTACGAATTACAAATAAGACATATAAACTTAGATGGGGATCAGCTCAAACTACAGTTCATTTCAACATAGTGTGTGTGTGTGTGTGTGAGTGTGTGTGTGTGTGTGTGTGTGTGTGAGTGTGTGTGTGTGTGTGTGTGTGTGTGTGTGTGTGTGTGTGTGTGTGTGTGTGTGTGTGTGTGTGTGTGAGTGTGTGTGTGTGTGTGTGTGTGTGTGCGTGAAACTCGTTCTCTCTCATCTTCTATACGCTTAATATTAATCTCGATAATTTGCATACAGCCTCCTTTACCCGCGGCGAGAACACTAAACCTAAAACAACAGCGCCTCAAGAGACATTAAGATGCAAACACACGCCCTACAGTTTACTGGTTATTCTCTTTACTCATAATTATTCTCTATCATTAGCGGCCTAACTCGCGTGCCCTCACTGCTGGTATAACTGCCTCACTGCCGCAAACATTAACTACAGCTTCTTGCGCGACCAACCAGTGGTAAGTGTTGTCCCCGGGCTGGTGCTGGTGTCTCCAGTGTGTCGAACCCAGACCTGGACTTTTAAGAAGAACTTCCTTTGTTAAAATGTTATGAGTTACGAGGTAAGAACCCTCACATGTTGAATTGCTTATGAGTTATGAGAAGGTGTCTTTGTGTCTCACTTAATAATGAAGTAAAGGTAGTGACGGAAACAGAGCCGAAATTGAACAGGGAATCTATAGTACCAGGGTGTTTGTGTTCAGGGGGAGGGGAGAGTCGTACGAAGCTTTGTGAATTCAGGCTCAGGTCTCATCACCATCTGAGGCCCCGGCTCTTGCTTTCATAAGGCAGACGGGATCTAATCTCCAAGTCTTTTGCATATTCGTTAGGTGTACAAGTCTGAGGAGAAACGAAAGGGTTAAGAGAGATGCTGCATCGTTCACGTCTGCGGTCTGGGAGATGTGAGTGTTCTGTAAGTCTGGTGAATTTCTCGACAACTTTTTGTAGTCGCTGTCAAATTAAGAAGTACAAGTATTTGACTGTCAGTCACAGGTGTCAATAATATTTGGTTAGCTTAAACCACACTTTACCTATTTCTTCTTTTTTTAACTCTTCTTCGTGTAAATAAATTTCTTACATGGTAGTTGATAATATAAACAAAGTAGGATATATAACTGACGGGGTCCTCCACACGTGTTCCCACAAGTCAACACACCTACAGGCAAATGTTTCACAGGGTCATAAAGTGTTCCCTCAGTAGACACTAACAACAACCATCG